AGCTTCCAACATAAGAGAAGTTTGAATGAAATAGCTAAATTCTAAAATCAGAAAATATACCCCGGGAGGCCAAATTAGTTAACTATTTCATAATAAGAAATGAACCAATATGGGCAAAAAAAAGATTAAATACAAAATGAAAAAAGAAATGAGACTCAGAAAATACAACTGTACGGTCTAGCTGAAAATAGAATATCCCAATACTGCTACACTTGTAAGAAATGTTTAGAATCAGACAAAAATTCACTTTAATAATGCTTTTGTAGTTTGGAGATAGGAAGTTTGTACCAAATCACCAAAATCCCTAAAATGCCAAATCTAGAAATTTGCTACTTTCCATTTACTATTTAAAGATTTCTAGAATTATCAAAACTAAATGTAGATCTATTTATTTACTCTAACTCCTGCCAATTTTAAGTACTGCCATGAGCCCACCATTCTCTAAGAACAGTTTCTTAAAACATAATCTAACCATAATCTTACTGGGTGATTTGTGACTTTGTTCTAGGAAGAAACAGTAGGAAGAAAAAAAATGAGAAAGAACATCTCAGAGGGCTCACATAAGCCTGAAAACCACAATCTTGAACTGCATATTGAAGAACGACTCTAGCACTATTATAGAGCAGATCTTCTCCAGCATTACAGGAGTACCAGAACACTCATCTCCAGCCCCAATGTTTCACCTGCAGCTGCCTGGCCAGGTGCTTCCAGCCTCCAACAACCTTACCCACCTTAGTGTGCAATTCAAAAACTATTTTCTGTGTGCCACAACTTGAAAAGAGGTTGGAAGGCACTGACAGAGTACACTAAAAAAATTACCACCTCAACTTTACAATCCTCTGCAACGAGACATTCAAAGTCTACCCTTACTTGATGTTATTGATCCTGAAGACTAATTTATTTCATTTTATCAATTTAAGTAATCAAATCCTACGTTACATTTGGATAATATGCATGTTTTTAAAATACAGTTCTCCTTACAGTTTAAGTAACCTGTTCAGCAGTAATATCCTGGTGTGGGTAAGATAAAGAAATCTACTGAAAACTTTCTAGGTAAGGACATGGTCTGAGTGACAGTGATGTATGGCGTACTTCTTCCTAAGCTCTCTAACTGAAATCCCAAAAATATCCATTTCTTAACCTCCTTCCACGCTTTTACCCCATATCACTATCACCTTTTAATATAACGCACAACTAACAAATATTTTGCTCTTGTCTGTCTCCCCGAACTGCACTATTATATCCACAAGGGCAGAAATCTTGGTGCTCTTGATCACTGCTGTATGCCCAGCACCTAGATGAGTACCTGATACATAGGAGGCCCCCCCAAAATAACTGATGAGAGAATGAACAAATTCCATAATCTGGTTGCAGTTTTATGTGTAATTTAGTTCTGAAAAGAGTTAAACTTCATTACTAAGAAGGTGAGGCAAAAATGCTGTTCACCAGAGAATAACCGCACAGAAAGCAGTGCTGTGTTTCAAAAAGCTTGATTTATCTATATGCAAATATTTTTCAAGATACTACTAGAAAATCTGTATCTGTTACTTTAAAAATATAACTAAAAGGAAAGATTTAGTTTTATTTTAATTAAAATAGGAAACATCAGTTTTCTATTCTTCAAATCCTAAGACAAAGGAATAAAGCGTGATAAGACAGTGAGAAAAATGCAGAATTGCACTAGCAAGTATTTTTTTTCCATTGCTTAAGTTGCCATGTAAAATTCAAGATTATCAACATTAACTTCTGTACCAACTCAGTTTTTTCTCTTAAAAATTGAAATCTGCCTTTTCCAGACACTTGAAGTCTAAATGTAACCAGGTTGTTATCCCTACAATTCTTTTGTGAGATATCATCACAAGTGTAGGGGATTTTAATCTTAATTGTTAGTCTTAAATAGTTTTAATCTTAACACGAATAATCTTGAATTGGTCATATAGCCCATCTACTGTTCAACTAGTGTTCTACAGTTCCTTTTTTGGCCTCAAATGACGAAACTCCTCCAACGTCTCTGGGGAGACTAGTGTAAAGTATAACGTTTCCTGAAATTGTTTTTCTCTCTGCACCGTTTCATGACATCTTTTCAACTAGGAATGTTAAATACAATTTTTCTATTCTGTAGGAAAGTCCAGAGGGAGAAGCAAATGTTAAAAAGAACACTGTATGAAAAACAGATTGAAAGAGGATAACACAAAAGCACAGAAGTAAACGTGAAGCAAACGTGCACAAAAGAGGAAGAAGATGCAAAAAAGAGATCAAAGAACACTGTTCTCGCCTGGGAAAGGAAAAAAAAAAAAAAACGGGAGGGAGCATAGGGAGATTTGCTTATTCTTCTAGAAACAAAAGCACAAAATCCTTCTAAGAAAAACATGGTCTCTTTCTAAAGATGTTGTTAAAACTCTAAAAAGCGCTCAGTTGACACTCCAAACGACAGTTCTTTCTTCTCTTCCTATATGGTTTGACGGAGCTAATCTTTATCTGTAAATTAAATGCAAGCCATAGACAATGCAGAGTCAACCTCTACAAAACTGCAATTGTGGTTGCCATCTTTGCCTGAAAAAACCAAACTCCTTGGATTTGGAAAAAAGGAGTACATCAAGTTGCAAAGCCAGAAAACCATGCACTGCCAAGTCAGGTAGATATAACACGGCTTAACAGAGGTCTCCTACCAAACTAAGGTTCCACTAAATATCTGGGGAAGAAGGGCAAAGGGCTGTAGCCTTATTGCGACCGCAAGGGTGGGGCACAGTAGGAAAAAAATTTGAGGGCACGCTATCCCGGGAGGTCTACGGGGACTGGCGACTTGGCTCTCGGGGACACTGCCTATTAGGCGGCAAATGATGTTGATGGACTAAGGGCGGCTTCAGGGACAGGGAGAAAGGGTGCTGCTGGACGAATGTTCGTTAAGGGTGCGGAGGCTGATACAGAACGGTACCCACGGGGCAAAGGATTAAGAGCCAAAGGGAGGAGAGCCGAGGAGCCGAGCATTCAGGGAGGCCGGGCGTGGGAGGCCTGAGCGGAGGCCGCGAAGTGCCTGGGCAGCCAGCCGCCTTCTCGGGGAACGCCTTTCCAGATCCCCACACTCAGCCCCTCTCGGGGCCGCCCCTGCCCCGGCGACAACGGCGAGAGCAGCTGTTTCCGCCCGGCCGGGGACCGCGAAGGAAAAGGCATCCCTGGGGCGGGCGGTTAGGCCGGCTGCGGCCGTCCGTGTGAACGGAAAGTGATTCCGAGCCCACTGCTACCGAGCCAACGCCACGCTCGGCCCTTTCCTCCCCCTAGCCTTCTTTCTCCCCCAACTTCCCGGCCGGCTGGTGTCCGCTTCGACCGACCGCGACCGACACCCCCCCCTTCTTCTTGCCGCCTCTCACCCCTGCCCAAAGCCCTGAGGCTGAGGAAGGACGGGCCACCGGGGCCGTTCCCGAACCCGCCCGGGTGCCCCAGGGTCCCAGGCACAGCCCCCGACGAAACACTCGCATCCTCTCGACGGCTCCCTCGCCCGCCCAGATGCTGCAAACTCCTCTCACCTGCATTGACGCCATGATGGAACCATCCCCCCAAGGCCGGCGAGGCCAGAGACGCAGGGGGCGGAGCCGCCGTGCTCGCGTCACGCCGCGGGGGCCCAGCAGCCCGGGCGCGGGGGCGGGGCCTGCGATGGGAAGGGGATGGCGCGAGGGGATTGGCCGGCGTGCCGGGCGCCCGCGGGGAGGGGCGGGCGGGGGCGCGGTCAATGGCGCTGTCGGTACCCGGGTCACAGCCGTACGGCGTCGGCGGCTAGGCCGCCCGCTGCTCCGATCGCTTAGGGAAGACCGCTCCAGTTCTGACCTGGACGCGGTTGTGGGTTCTTTTTTCCGTCTGTGCTCCGAGATCCTGATGATGTCTGGACCCGTGGCGTCTTCTCTGTTTCGTTTTGTTTTTCCACCCGCAGGTGGATGGTGTACAGATTTTTCCTTTGGTGTCGTTTGCACCCCACCGTGCCCACTTTTACACCCTTGGGATCAGATAAAACTTCCCGCGGGGCTGCTTTCAGGTTTTACGGGCCTGGAAGATTTCTCATATTCCTAATTTGGGGAAAAGAAACACAGATTTCCTTATACAACAAGGTGAGAATTGAGAGCAGAACAGCACTTTGATATTTATAAAGGCAGGAGTGGATTCGAAGAGCTGAAACTTGCCTGAAAGGGAAGAGAAAATTTTGAAGTTTTTCTTTTGTTTGTGGGCGATTTCCGCCCCTTTAGCCCAGTTTCTCAGTTTCAAACTTAACGTGTATCAGTGATAGTTATGGCCGTTATGGCATTGACATTTGATTAGAGATTTCTTCCTAGATAATGAAATTTTTTTTAATGTACCAGCGTCACGTTGTAAAATACACGGATACTTTCTGTTGCATCTAGACTTCCCTTCAGCCCGTTTCGTGGTGGGGAGTTTTGTGGTCATTCGACCTAGGGATGTGTTTGAGTAGGGAAAGCTGAGCATACAGGATTTATTCCGGGAATGCACCAGTTCTGCCAACATTTATCAGAAGCCACGTCTTTCAAAGCTATTCCAGAACTGAAGATGTCATTGGTTTATAAGGGGAAAATGGAAGCCAAGGCTTGCACCTCATGTTCTAGTAAAAAATTAAAGTGGCTGATACATTGAGAAGAAGGCTTTTACTTTACCAGAATGAAAGCTTAAAATCTGTCATTTTATTAGCCTGACGTTTTAAAAAACTTCTATAAATTAAGATTTGACTATAAGAGCAAGGTAGGATATCATCCTTCCCACTCTTTAGATCATTATGTTCTCTGGGAAATTCCCTAATGTAAAATGTGTCTGAAAAGGAAAAAAAAACTCTTTCCTTTCAGACTTCCACCCTAGTCCCAGAAATGGGCTGGTTTTCCCTTTGTTCTGCAAAATGACTGCATCCTTGGGACTGTTTGGATGCTCTTGGCAACTAGGAATCATCCAGAAGCATGACCAGGTGCCAGCCCAGTTGTGTTGTCAAAATTTCAACAGTGAGTAAAACCCATATATCGCAATGAAAGAGGAAAGCTTTTCTAGATATGTTTTCTTCTGGAGTCCTTTATCCCTGTGATCTCAGAAAATTACTCCAGGAGATCAGGTTTTACCATCCAAGGTTCACTTTGTTTAAAAGCTGATTCTTCGTAAGGTATAAGTGACATCAGATGACCCCACAAACAAAGCATTATGACATCATCAGAGCTGACAACCTGCCATGACAGATACTAATAAGGAAGAAAGGGGGTTACAGGAATCCTGACACGCCTCACTGTAAAGTCAACATCTGGTCCCTTGGGTTTTGTATGTCTTGTAAAGGATCTTTGTAGGAGGGAAAAGTCAGTACCAGTCATATCCTTCCTGGGAAATATTAAGTAGTACATAATTACCTCACTACCTTCTTCATTCTTTCATTAAAATATAATAGATAGATCCTGATGTACTCACAGCTAAAACAATGACTTTCAGATGGGGTGGGGCATATAATTATCTCTAGGGAACATGTAATTTTTATATCTAAAACACTTGATTATACACAATATTTGATGACTAGGCTCGCATCTCATTTCTTTACAGGGTGGGGTTCACACTCAGGCAAAAAATAAAGTGAGTGACAATGCCAAAAGTGGGAAAGGATGTGGAGCCCTCATGAATTATAGGAGAGAAATTGGTAAATCACTTTGCAAAAACAGTTTAGCAATAATAAAGTTTCCCATACCCTTGAAGAATCTTCTTAAGAGCGTCATTTGCAATAAAAGATATTTAAGAGAGATATCAAACAAATGCAGTGTGTTAACATTGGATCCTGATGGAAACAAACCACCTGTAAAAAAGATTTTTGAGACAACTGGAGAAATTTAAACATAAAATGGATATTAGATGCTATAAAGGAATTATTATTATTTTTTTCAGGTTTGATAATGACATTCATTTTTTAATTTCCACAGCAATTAGAAATGACCATCAAGTTCAAGGAGGTGATTCTCCTTTACCTCACAAACTACCCCAACTCCACCTCCTGGAAGAGAGAAAGAAACAGAACGTACACAAGCTGTAGATGTGCCTGAGGTCTTCCCTTCAGAGGTAAAGGTAACCTGTCCAGAAAGGACTAAAAGCAGCTGGACTTTCCATCAGAAAAGGGGAGGAAATATGGGAACCCAAATAGTCTAGTAACTTGAAGGACCTGCAAAGGGATCACTGGGCAGATGCTGCAACATTGACAGTGTGTCGTGATTTGTGAATGCTTGAGTTCTAATGTCTCACTAGACTGGGGAGTCAGGAGCGGTCCTATGAGAATATGCTTGTTGGTGATGAAGAGGCAGAGCTGGCAAGTCCTTGCTTGAGTCTGTGTCTCTGCAGAGTGGTTTGTTCTTAGTCTCCTACTGGCTGGTCTCACCAGAGAAATGGAGGCAGTTCTGCAACCAACAGCTTGTTGACGGGATGTTAGAGAAGGCACGAAGCTAGGAATCCAAGGCTTGTCTCTTCTCCTGGCTCTGTCATTAGCGAGCTTGGTCAAGGCTCTTCATCTCTCTGAGTTTCTTTCTTTTTTTCTTTTTTCCCTGCTTTTTTTTCTCCCCAAATCCCCCCACTACATAGTTGTATATTTTAGTCATGGGTCCTTCTAGTTGTGGCATATGGGATGCCGCCTCAGCATGGCCTAATGAGCAATGCCATGTCTGTACCCAGGATCCGAACCCTGGGCCACCGAAGCGGAGTGCGAGAACTTAACCACTTGGCCACGGGGTCGGCCCCTGGGTTTATTTCTTTATCAATAAAATGAGCATGTCATACTGCATCATCTTCAAGTTTTCTTCCAGATTTCAAATTCCATGCACACATTAGAGAGAATCAAAATTTTAAATGGTTTGTCTAGAATACCATGTTAAAAAGTCTAAGATAAAAAAAATCACTTTTATAAATATGATAAAGAATGCACTTGGCTTCGTTGTAATTTATGTAGAAATACTAGGGGGCTTTAGTTAGCAATTTAAAAATGCTAATGTAATCCAACTGAACTATAGATGGGATTTCATAAAGTGGCAAAATCTCCAAATTCACAATTTAAAGTGATACTTTTAAAAAAAGCATCTCTACAAAGCAAAAGTGTATTTTTTAAAATAATTTTGAACCCAAACTAGTCATTTTATGTGGATCTCCTAATAAAGAACAAAGGAATTGAACAAAATAACTAATGGTTTATATGTGTGATGTATTCTGGGTGACTTATTCTACATGTCAAAAATAGTGACATGAGGGGCCAGCCCGGTGGCGCAGTGGTTAAGTTCACACGTTCTGCTTCTGGGTGGCCCGGGGTCTGCCGGTTCGGATCCCGGGTGCGGACATAGCATCGCTTGGCAAAAGCCATGCTGTGGAGGGATCCCATGTATAAAGTAGAGGAAGATGGGCATGAATGTTAGCTCAGGGCCAGTCTTCCTCAGCAAAAAGAGGAGGATTGGCAGTAGTTAGCTCAGGGCTAACCTTCCTCAAAAAAATAAAATAAAATAGTGACATGACATACATATCTGGTCTGTAAATAAAATTGTGAATCAGGAGAACTTTGCCTTCACTTTCTCCCCTTTCCCTGCCCCTCTCTAGTGAGAATTCTTTTACTCAGGTCTGTAATCCTTGACCACATTCCTTGCCTACTTCTCCAGCAGATCTCTTACCAAACATGTTCTTAAAAAGTTATCCTTTTATTTTTTTGGCCATAGACTCCTTTAAAAGTCAAATGAATATCATGGACCCACTCCACAGAAAAATGTACATGCTTATGAATTTTGTATGTCATGGAGCTACCTGACCCTCAGAAGTTCAACCATTGGCAGAGGTGTGTAAACCTCAAGATAGGAACACCTTTACTGAAGAGGTGAAAATGGATACCAGCTCAACCTCTTGCCCTTTCAAAACCTGTCTATCTTTTATGTAGACATAATTTCATAGCACTGTTTTCTTTTTGTTCACTTTTTTTTTTTTTTGAGGAAAATTAGCCCTGAGCTAACATCTGCCACCAATCCTCCTCTTTTTGCTGAGGAAGACTGGCCCTGAGCTGACATCCGTGTCCATCTTCCTCTGTTTTATGTGGGACCACTGCCAAAGCATGGCTGGTCAAGCAGTACGTAAGTCCACACCCGGGATCCGGATTGGGAACCAGAAGAGTTGAGCTGCACTTGCCTTGATCCTTCCCAGGGATGACACTAAACTTATTTAATGATAGATGTGGCACAGGTACCAACCATGCAGAACAGAATCTGCTCAGTGCTGGGGCAGGGTGCTGGACGCTCCCTGCTCAGTGGGCCAAGTATCTGTAATTAGATCAGGGGAAGATCTGGGGGGATTCAGAGGCTATAGGAAGAAGGGAAATTCTTTGGGGAATTTGAGGGCAGTGGCTATGTACTCACCACCATAGAAGTGTTTTCTTTTGGGAGTGATGGGAGTGTTCTAACACTGGATTGTGGTGATGGTTGCCCATCTGTATAAATTTACTCAAAATTACTGAACTGTATGCTTACAATGGGTGAGGTTTATGGAATGTAAATTATACCCTAATATAGCTGTTAAGAAAAGAGAAAAGCATTTCAATATTTTAACACAGCCAGCCATACCAGTAGTCCTGGCTGGCCCTAGGACCTGGCTCTCCCATTAATGGTATGAGACCTAAGGCTGGTCAGGCGTCTCCCTGGGTCTGGATTTCTTCATCTGTAAAATGAAGAGTCAATGATTTCTTCAAAGCTTTCCAGATAAATTCTTTTTCCTGTCAAAAAAATTCCGTTATTATGTCATCATTATTCACATTGCCCCCCTAGCACCTGCTCCTAAGGCCTTCATTGCCCAAACACATATTTATCCTTTCTCTGCTGCTTAGGAGGGATGGCAGCCCTAGTGATTTTGTCCCTACCAGATAGTTCTTTCTCATCCTATGACCTTACCTCCTGCTTAGCTTTTCCTTTTTTTTTAGTGGCCCTTTTGGTCTGATCTCCACTAAACATGAGTCAGAAAAGGCATTAGACTTGGAATCAAAAGGCCTAATTTAAATCCTAATTCAGCTATTTCTTAGTTCTGTGACCTGGAGTTAGTCATTTAAACTTCGATGAACCTTGGTTTCCTCATCTGTAAAACTGGGATAAAAATGCCAACACACGGTTTGTGGTGGAGTCTAGATGAGACCGTGAATGTGAAGGAGCCCTAATGACCTGCACAGCACCACACGGATGAGAGGTGATACCTACTTTTTCTTCTGCATTACTCCATGTTCTCTCTCCAGTGGGCAGGTGAGACGTTGACTAGAGATAAGACGTGGGGTCTGTGACAGTGACTGAGAAATACTCATGCCAAGATCCCCAAATTCCATACTACTTGTGAACATAGAAGAATCTGGGCAGACACTCTGCTCTGAACTGAGCTTGCCAAAGACAAATGTTCAAGGTTGGGATGTTGCCTCTCCCCACCCCACCCAGCGTCCCTCCCCACATGTGGCATCCTCCCAGACCTGCCCTAATTAAAGACAATAATGATAACAGCTACCTTGGATTGAATATTTATGTGGGCCACGTAGACACTATGAGAGGCACTTGTATTTCCTGTATTATTTAAACTTTAAAACAGCACTATGAGGTAGGTAAAACAATTCCCAATATGGGTAAGTAAACAGGCTTAGAGAAGCTGGGTTATTCGCAAAAGTCACTCAGCTTATGAATTGCAGAGTCAGAATTCTACCTGGGGAATTCTATGACTTTATAGATTGAATTCTTTAACTGGTACACAGTGTTGTCTTTCCAAATCCACTCTCTTAATGACTCATATCAGTGAGGTTTTAAAATAAAAGTAACTGATCAAATGGATTCATTTTAAACTATGAAACTTAAAAGGCAAGGTGAATTTTACATTTTACCAAGAATGTCGGATACCCCCAAATATGTCTAATTGGTGAATTTTCGGACAGTTTGACAAAATAAAAAAATATGTGGCAATTTTGTCCAGAAAGCACGTGTTGAATGCCAGGCACTGGGGATATAAAAATGAGCGAGGGGGCCGGCCCGGTGGTGCAGCAGTTAAGTTGTCACGTTCCGCTTCTCAGCAGCCCAGGGTTCGCGGGTTCCGATCCTGGGTGCGGACATGGTGCCACTTGGCACGCCATGCTGTGGTAGGCGTCCCACATAGAAAGTAGAGGAAGATGGGCATGGATGTTAGCTCAGGGCCAGTCTTCCTCAGCAAAAAGAGGAGGACTGGCAGTAGTTAGCTCAGGGCTAATCTTCGTCAAAAAAAAATAATAATAATAAGTGAGATAGAGTCCCTGTACTCTCATCATTTACAATCAGGAAAACAGATGAAAGAAAGGACTTTGATAGAATATGGAAAAAGCAACTTACTGGCTGTGATGGGATCATATGTGAGGGGCACTTGGCCTCGCCTAGGAGCTGAAGATGGCTTCCTGGAAGAGCTAAGGCCTGAGCAGACAAGAAAAAGGGCAGAAGAGAGGCATGCTAGACAGAGGGAGCAGGAGCCGTGTAATTGGGATCTACAGGAGACAATAAAGCTTGGTATTGCCCAGTAGAAATTGATGGAAAGAGGTGGGAGACAAGAGGCAGGCAAGACTTGGTCATGGAAGGCTTTGTTGACTGACAAGGAGGTTGGACTTTATCTTAGAAACCATTTGGCAAATTTGAGGTATTTTCCAGTGAGCGATGGTGAAGCCAGATTTGTGTGTTGGACTGACAGCCCAGGTGGCTGAACAGATTTGATCAGGTAAGATCGGAAAAGGAAAAATCAGAAAAGGAGGCTATTGTAAGGGTCTGACATGAGGGCTTGGACTAGGGCTTGTAGAGAAAGGAAAGGAAGGACTCTAGAGATATTTAGGAAAGGGAACAGACAGGACTGAGAACTGTTGTATGTAGGGTTGTGTGCCAGGTTTCTGATTTTAAAATACAGGAGTTGGTAGAGATAGAAGGAATGAAAGTAGAAGGGGAAGAAAAAATAGTTCCATTTTGGACATGTTTGAGGATTTTAAGTTTCCTGTAAGGACATCTGTCATGCGTTTCTCAAGTGAAAGTTGTGAGATCTATCTCAAATGAATTCACTAGGAAATC